GCCCCAGGGCAGCATGGGGGTGACACAGCTGAGCTACCCATCTCATCTTCAGCCCCCTCCTCAGCAGGCCTCCCTGTCACTGTCTCCTGCCTGAGCTTACCTCACTGCGGAGAGGCTGGGTATTTGCACAGAGGGTAAGCACAGGAGGCTTGAGCTCCGGTGGCAGGTGAGGAGGCAGCAGGCTAGGTTGCAAGTTCTGGCAGACCTGAAAAGTTGCTGCTCCCTGTTCTAGCACGTTGTGTCAGTTGTCATTGTCTTTCATTATTACAGTAGGTACCAGCTGAGTTGGGGCCCCATTGTGCCAGGCACTAAACAAACTGCAGCAAGATACCCTCCCACATTGCTGGTCATCTTAATAGACATGCCAAAGGCAGGCAGGGAAAACAGGAGTGCAGTGAGATGAAGTGACTTGCCCAGGGTCGTGCAGCACAGAAAAGCAGAGCAAGCAAAAAGTGATTTGCAGTCCAAGGCCCTACTCACTAGATCATGCTGCCTTTCCAGGGTTTTTTGAATGTTGATTTGAATGGCAGTCTGGGGTTTTGTGAAGTTCCCTCTTGTTATACACTTCCATCAACACCAAACCCACTGGGTCCTTCCACTCTACAACCAACTTTATTACATAAGGGAAACTGAGAAAAAGGAAGCAAAATCAAGTTTCTGGGCACAAAATAGAAAGGCCTTGTCATGTGCATTGCCACATAGAGACAGCAGCAGGCAACAGCTACAGGCTGGCTTTCACATGCACCATATTCTTACTTTATAAATGGGAGACTAAGTACTTCTGTGCCTTGTTCAGCATGGCACTGGCAGGATTTTTCCTCACTCTAACAGCTTTTCTCTTGAAGGGAGGTAACTCCCTGTAGGCGGCTTGTAACAGCTCTAATTATGCGACCCACCCATGTGCTCTATTTGCAATCCTACCTTAAAAAAAATCAAAAGCTGGAGTAAGCAGAGGAACAGTGGGCAAGCCAGAAGAAATGCAGGTCCCTTTGAACTGCTGTCTTCTGTCACAGACCCCATCTGCCAGAGGTATTTGCTATGGGGCAGAATGCAGCTCTTGCCTACCTGGATGAGGGATGTACAAACTGAACAGTGCTGGAGTAATCATAGAAATCATAGAAAAGTAGGGCTGGAAGGGTGCTCCAGAGGTTGTCTAGTCCAGTGGTTCTCAACCTTTTTCCTACCGGGACCCATTTGCAAAGATTCTTGGCCTGTCCTGACCCGCACCCCCCTGGCCCTCCCAATACTCAACCCCAGACCCTCCGCGCCGAGCCATGCTGGTGTCTCTCACTCCCAGCTGTAGCCCCTGCCCCCCCAGCCCTGCCAGAGGGGCCCCCAGCTGCCCCTGTCCAGCTTGGGCCAGAGGGCAGTGGCTGCGGTGGCTCCGGCTCATGCGAGTGGCAGCAGAGCAAGTCCAGCCCTGGCAAGGGATGGAGAGAGGAGGGGAGGCCTGTGGCAGCCCCTGCCCTGGGCCCAGGCTGCCGTGCTGTGCCAGGCTGCCTAGTCACATCCCCTTCGGCCCCCTGAGCAGCATCTCCTGGCTGCCTCACCCCTGTGAGCACCCAGCTTGGCCTCACACCTCTCCTCAACCCCCTTCCCTTGCTGGAAGGGGCAGGTGCCTTCCCACCACCACTCTGCCCTGCCGCAGTCTCGGCACTTTCCCGGGATCAGCGTTTCTCAACCTGTGGCTCGCAACCCTCTGCAATCTTCTTGCGACCCACTTTTTGGTTGTGACCCACGGGTTGAGAAACACGGATCTAGTCCAGCCCCCTGCCTGAGGCAAGATCATCTCTATCCAAACCTTCCCATATAAATCCATAATCTAGGATCTTAGTAAAACTACCATCAATCCTGACACAACACAAGTCATACAAGCCTAACTTGCCACAGGTAAAGCAGGGGGACTACAGCAGCCAGCATCCTGCTTCTCTAAAGGTTGTTAATATACACGCAAGAAAACTCAGGTAAAGGGCCATGCCCCACTACTCCAGGGGAAGGCGAAAACCCCCTGAGTCTGTACTGATCTGCCCAAGAGAAAGTGGGGAGAGGAGTGGAAACCCAAGGCTATTTCTTTTCCTCCCCTAGGTAAATCAGTCATAGCTTCTGGTTTCGTTGACACACAAACATGCACATGCTGTGATTGTTTTCCTCTGACTTCTAAGGCTCCTGGGTTTCAAAACCCAGCCCTCCAGATCCTTCCTTACTGTCTTGAGCTCAGGAATGGCTTTCCAGGCCCTGACTTGAAGGGAGCCATCCACTTCAAAACCAGCAGCCAAATTCCCCAGGATTGGCTCGGGTGCTGGGTGGGGATTCAGAATGCTTTGAAGTCCTCTATTCTTATGGCTTTTTTTCCAAGAAGATATAAAAAGATCTATTTAAAAAATAGCAATGCCTATGATGTTTGTGAGGGTTAAAGCCATATCAGTGGTAAAGAGACCAGAGCTGTCTGTAAGTGTTGTGCAGTTAAGGCTGGTGCTGGCAACCCCTTAGCTTGTCTGCAGCATCCAGTGTGAGGGCCAGGCCATCCTTTTAAATGGTGAAATGTGTGAAATGCTGATGCCAGCTCCAAGACCCCCTTCCTGCGGAGGGCTTTGCTGCATGCCATTCTCTGATCTCAGGGAACAGCTTGCTGTAGTAGTGTACGTGCCGGGAAGTGCAGTCCCCAAAGCTGCATGAAATAGGGCTTGGTAGGGTACTGTAATAACTTTACAGTGGACCCTGCTGATAAGGCCAGATCCTAGTCCCCTGAGAAATCAGTGGCAGAAATGCAACTTGCCAGTGAATCTGGATGTACTAAACATCTGCTCTCAGGGAAAG